TGCCAAGTTAGAGACGAGCGAAGTTCAACTTTGATCCAACTATTGACAGTCTGACAGTAAATTTGAGAAATGGATTTAATTTGTTAAGCACACACGGTACACAAAATAATTTGGGTGCATCATCGTCTTCGATGCCAAGGCATTCTTGCATTACTAGATTCGAGTTTGACTTGAACATGCCACCAACGTAACAATCAACGTTTAACCCGTTCAATAATTTCTTATTTAGACGATATTCAACGTATATCCCTTTTGCGGATAACGTCTCAAAACATATGGTGAGATATTCTTTTACTGGTATGTGTGACATTGATCTTGTGGAACTGGTTCTTGAGTGGTCTTGTGATCGATGAACACCTGCAGCAACTTACTTTGATTTAAAAGAGGATTGCCTATTCTGATGAAGAACCAATAAAGGAGCCCGACCCCGATGGTGATTAGTTAGTCCCCTTTTATGAAGAACCATAATACCTTGACATGCCACCAAAAGCAAAAGACAAAGAAGAATACGGTACGACTACAATGGTTCCACATGCTGCAACGCCTATTTCTTATTACCAACCACCATCGTACTTTACAACAATTAATATAGAAGCATTCAATGCTATAAAATTTTGCCAATTCCCACACATTGAGCAATACAATCAACATAGTGATGGTGATCTCTATGATGGAATGGTTTTTAGGTTAATATAATGTTTTAATTTTTCATTATTTATTTGATTTGCTTATTGGTAAGTTGGAAATTTTATATACTCTTTTTACGAATAAGATTTTGGACAAGTACATCATGTTAACTGTGAAAAACTTATACGGATAAGTACATTGCTGAATATCTCCACAAGAAGCAGGGATTAATTGGAGGGTTTGTGTATCACGGTTGAAGACGATAAACAACATTTGGAAACTCAAAAAATACGTCCAACCTCATACATGCACCGCCAACATCCCGAATCAAGAGCATCATAACTTGGATGTGCACGTGCTTTCTGAAGCCTTCATTCCATTGTTCAAATCAAATTCACGTGTTACAATTACGAACTGTATTACTTCAGTTACATCGCTATATGGGTACACAGTTGACTACCACAAAGCATGGTATGCAAGGTATCAAACCCAACAAAATTGTTTTGCCAATGGGAGTAATCATACAATGAATTACGGCCATGGCTTAAACTGTTGCAAAAACAAGTTATAGGAACAGTTGTGAAATTGGAAACAGTTCTGGCGTACGAAAATGATCATGTTCTACAAGGTCTTTGCCAATTCTATCGGGTTTTTGGACTTTTCCACAATGCATTTTGACACTGCAAGTCGGTTGTTCAAATCGAAAGCATTTGGTTATATGGTTGATACACTCAAATAATGGTATTGACGGTTGCACAAGACAACAACATAAAAACTATTCCCATCACTTTCGTAATTGTCGAAAATGAAGATATCGACTCTTGGGAATTCTTCATTACGAACTTACAAACATATGTTCTATCACATGTGATGCAGGATAGAAATGATGGGATTTGTCTTATTTCTGACAGAGACGCTAATATCAAATAACACTCCATCGTATGGGCCCATCTTGTCAACCCTTCAATATTTATCACCAGTACTATTTATGATATATTACCACAAACTATTTGCATAAGTTCAAGAGTCAATATGAGTATCTAATGATGCTTCGAATGGGTACGTCTTTCACCTTCTTCGGTTTACCATATCTTTACAAAAATTATTTTAAATTAATTGTTCCACTTTTTCTTGATAGATTACACACAGTCCGTACGTGAGTTTAAGGACCTGATACAGGAACTAAGACACATGATTTCTGAGGGCTTCAACTACCTTGATATAATCTCAAAACAGAAATGACTTCGATCATTTGATGGGGGTAGACGGTATGGTCACATGACAATGAACTTGGTTGAGGCAATAAATTCATCACTAAAGGGAATGCGCTATTTGCCTATCACGTCCGTTGTCAAAGCAACATAATATCGACTAACAACTCTTTTCGCAACCTTGGGAAAGTAAGCAATTAACTTGATGGCAGATGGCCACCAAATCCTCCCAGACCTCTTCAGAAAATTACAAACATTCCAACACCATTCCAATGCGATGAGTGCCATATGATTATCTCGCGAAATTGCCTATCACGTCCGTTGTTGCTTCTTCTTTTCGGATACCTTACATGAGATTTTTTGATCGAGTTTACTTACTTGAAACTATATTCAAGGTTTATGAATATGAGTTTTATCTCATTGTAAATGAATGAGATCCAGATGAAGCTGATGATGAACCTACAATACGGCCAGATTATGCACTACGACGAAAATATTGGTCGTTCATGGTCAATCTAGATTTTTTATGACAAGGATTTGGTCGAACATCAAGAAAGAACTGGACAACCAAAATTATGCTCTATATGTATGAATCCTAGACACACGAAGAACAAATTTCCTAATTGTTCAAGCCCATGTATCAATTAAATGGGTTTTTTTCATTATTTCTTTTTTAATTAACAACACATATTACTCATATTTACAAGCCAAAATAACACTCCAATATGTCTATCAAACCATTTTCTTCTTCTTCCTTCACAAAACCATGATTTCTAACCATTTTCAATGTTATTTTTATCCCACTTAAATTGTCTTATATATGTTGATATTATAGTCACCTTAAAGATAAATTGCAACACTACGCGTTTATAATTAAAAATTAAAAAATAGTTTCCCACCCAAAAATATTATATGAACAAGGATATGGATACTAAAGGGAAGGTAGGGAATCGAAAGAACCTAGCGCTTTGCAGGCCAGAGGCTCCCCATAAATCTCGTGATATTTTATATCATAAAGGCTACCTCGCGTATTACGAAGCACGAGGTCATTTTATCTAATTGTTTTATTGGCTTACCTGGAAAGTGCTCCACGTCGGATATATCCATTGATGATTTCTATTAGAGGAAAGAGGGGTAGTATCGATACTCTTGTGAGGAATATCGATACTCTATCCTTGGTATCGATACTCCTTTAAGTATCGATACAAAAAATGAACACTAAAAAACTAGTCTCGATACAACCCCCTTTATTTCAAAATCAGAACCCTAATATCGATATTGACATTCAAAACTCCTTTGATTTCTTGCCTGCCATAAGAACAATCTAAATATTATCCCTTCAATACTAATACTCCCACTCGAGAATGCCCTATTTGGGCACGAATTCAACACTCAAACTCACCCAAATTGTCCTATTAAGATTCACAATCGTTATTAATATTTTATGGATATAAAAAGGTCATAAAAAAGCTTTAAACATGCTAGAAACCATAAAACATAAGATGTACCATAAATACTCCACAACTCAACTCTAAGCTTGAAATACATCTCTAAATGACTCACAAATGATATAAAGAAGTTGTGAATGTGTTACATTGCTTTCTTTACTACTAAAGTCTCTCCCAAATCAACTATGAGTATTCTTTTATTTCCCTCTTGCTTTTGAGCTATCTTCTACCTCTTTCACTAAACAAGGTAAGAAATGGATTACTAACTCAACTAAGTGCTTGGATTGAAGTTAAAAACAATTCCTATAACTTGAATTCACTAGAAACGAGCTAGAATCCATAGATTCTCTTAAACCTCCCTAAAACTCATTTTTGGAAACTAAGCCTAAAACTTGAGATATGGAACTTAAATTAATGCTTGAAGGGTGGGGAATAATATTCTTACCTTGGTTTAACCAAACTAAACTTTAAGTCCTTAAAACCTTCACCTTGGAAAGGAATAATAAGAGAAAAAAGATGAAGATGAAGAGGAAGAGGAAAAGTGTTTGGTGAGCAAGAGGGGTAAGTTCACATTAAATATAATAACAAAAATTGGTTTTCAGATCTTGATTTGAAAGTTGGGCAAATTGCACTTTTGATACCTTTTCTTTTTATTCATTAATAAACTCATCCCACCACTTTATCATTTGGGCCCAATTCAAGCCCAAATCCAACATAACTAAGTCCAAACTATTCTAATAGGTCTATTGGGCTCAAATAATAGGTCTCGGGTTGACTCGAACTTCTAACCCTAGATTCGTGGCATTACAATTTAGTCAACAACCTATTTTTAGATTAAGTTTTAACCTAATCATTTTTTGAAATATTACCTGATGTTATGTTTTTGTTCTATTTTGATTACTCGTCGTTAAAAAATAAATAAAGATACTGATGTTTTACTATAAGGTAATGTCATGTCATCATTGAAAAGTAAAAGAATTATCACATCAATAGTTGTATTTATTTTTTAGCGATGTGTAACCAAAACAAAAGAAAAACATAACATTAAGTATGATTTCGAAAAAATAATTAGATAACCATCAAGATATAGCAAAAATACTAACATGTTAGACTTGAATATTATTTTATATAATTTTTAGTTCAATAATTAATAATAAAATAGAATAAAAGTTAAAGAATGAATCTTTATTTTCAAATAAAGGAATAAAATCAAATGTCGTGAAATTAAAATATAAAGATTAAATTTAAAAAGTTTAAAAGTATAAGGATATATAGGATAATTAATCCATTTTTCAAACATCGAGGCAGAGTGCATTGGGTAGGCTTAAGGTATTGGGCCAATGGTAGCCATTTAACGGTTTCGCCAAACTTGAATTGTTTTGTATATAACAAATAAATAACTAAAATATGACATTTTTTTCATTTAAGTTATTATTTTGATTAAAATAGATACTTAAAATAATTTTTTGTCAAAATATGTATTTAAATTATTTAAATTTTTATATTTAAGTACATAAAATATTTTTTAATTAACGTCACGTATTATCTTTTTTAAAACTTAAATGAAAAAAATTAAATAGTTTAATTAATTATTTTGATGTACTTATTTTGAAAAGATAGATAATTTTATATATTTATTTTGACAAAAAAATTAAGTACTCAAATGAATGTATATTTTAATTATTTATTTGTGATGTAAGCTTTTAGATTTAACAATTCGTCTTTACCCGTTTCTCTCAAGTTCCTCTGCCATTCTTCCTCTGATTCAAGTTCTGTTATTCTTAGATTTCATCTTCAATCTCTGTTATATGTTATTATCTCATGATTTCATGTTTAAACCGTATCATCTAGATTTCAAACACTCTTTTTTTGTAATTTTGTTGTGCCTTTTCTTCGGGAGAGGTTGTTTGTCGACACATATGGCAGGTATCGAGTTAGCCAAAGGCGTTAACGGCCTCGAAAAAATCATCCTCCGCGAGTCTCGCGGCAGCTCCGCCGAGGTAATTTTACAAGCCTTTCGGTTTCTTTCTTGTTTTTACTTCTGGATCTGTTCAATCTGATCTGCGGTAGTCTTCTTGCATTTCTTTGAAATTTTTTTTGTTTGTTATTTTCCATAGATCTTTGAGTATTTAATATTGTTTCTCTTTTTAGGTGTATTTGTATGGAGGCCATGTGACATCTTGGAAGAATGAGCAAGGAGAGGAGTTGCTTTTCGTCAGTAGTAAGGTACTTGTCAGTGACTGTAATTTTCTTTGACTAAATATGATCAGGGATTCAAATTGCAGTTGCAATTGCTTTTTCAGTTGCATCGTGTTTATCGCAATTGTGGACATAACCGATGCTATTGCAGTGATTGTGGGCATAACCCTGAATATGATATATAATGCTTAAAGTATATTGTTCAAGTCCTTTGAATCGACGATTCATTTAGATCTGATCTTTTTTTTATAATGAAATTATGTTTATACGCTTTTTGCTTCCCTTGATGCCCTTTTCAACCTGTGATCTGTCTTTTTTGAGTGTGAGCAACGGCAAAAGGTAGACAGATTATGTGTTTTCTAGATCGTAAACCTTTCCAACAGTTTTGAGAACATAAAGAACTGATTCGTTCGCTACTGAAATAGCATGAACCCATAGCTTAACTGTTAAACTTGTGTTAATTTGTTCGAAACTCCTTGTTCGATTATGAAATGAAATACTTCCTATGTTTTTAGGAAAAGAATACAGTATAGTAACTTATTTTCCTTGCTTGTCTTTATTTTTTGTCCCATTCAGTGACCAATAAGGTAAACAAGAAGAAGACTTTTTTTTTTTGGTTTTATGAGATATAAAATGCTAAATTACTTCAATTATTTAGATGAATGTGATTAACAAGTAACAAGAATCCATTAAGCTGTAACTGCAGTCCAAAGTGAACACTTGCATAAGCAAATGCAAGTGTTTAAGAAGACAACACTTGGAAGTTATGTGCACTTTTTACCTAATTTACGAGATACATTTCTTCTGCAGGCATGGTTCAACCCTCCAAAGCCCATTCGTGGTGGAATTCCTATATGTTTCCCCCAAGTATGTGCAGATCTTCTACTGTCCTAGCTTGTTTAGACCATGGTCATCTTGGTCATGAAATACATGCTCTATGTTTGCAGTTTTCAAATCTTGGTCCTCTTGAGTCGCATGGGTTTGTCAGAAATAAATTTTGGAGCATTGACACTGACCCACCTGCATTTCCTACAAACTCAACCAGTAAAGCTTACATTGATTTGATCCTGAAGGCTTCTGAAGAAGATATGAAGATTTGGCCTCACAGGTAGTATCATTTTCTAATATTTTAATGTTAGTTCACAAAGAGTGATCCATTTCAAATCTTTGCACATTATTTTTCTTGACCAATTAACTTGTCTTCATGGCTGTCTTCTGTCTCAGTTATGAGTTCCGCCTTAGGGTAGCTTTGGGACCTGGAGGAGATCTAATGTTAACATCTCGCATCAGGAATACTAATAGTGATGGGAAGCCATTTACATTCACATTTGCATATCACACATATTTTTCTGTTTCTGATATCAGGTAACTAAGAATTTGTTTTATATTCTTTCTTTTTTGTGATAAGATGCTTCTTGATATTACGACTTCCAGGTTTATATCTGCATATGTTGGAGTCAACTTTTTGGCATGCTTAGGTCACCCTATATTCTTCCTTGTCACATTTGCATGTCCCACTTCATTAACATCAACTGTTGGCGGCTATGCTATTCTACTTCATCATGATTAAGTTCTAGCGAGTAAACTGTCATTACTAGTAACGTCTGTCCTTTTCCTAGTTCTAGTTTTTGTCAGGGTCTAAAATTTTGTCTACTATTGCAAGCGTGTCTTGTGTTTGAGCAGTCGAGCATGAATGTGTAGTTTGGGTTTTGTTTGTCTGGAAGGTATAGGAGATGGAGAACATTGTTTATCCTTACCTAATTTGCCCCAGCTCCCTTTGAATTTGTGTGTTCTGTTGAACAATCATGATTGCCATTTCCAGCAGTGAAAGTAGCAAATGTTCTTCTGCCTGCTTATAGAAAGCCACTTACTTTAAAATGATGAATTTTCACACAATTCTTAGTGTCAATAACAAGGTTTATGATAATGTAACCGTTGCTCTTATATCTTCTCTTATTATTGCATTTCACCTCAACATGTAAAATTGATTCATCGTAGAATATGTCAAGTCAATGACTCATCGTTTGTCTCATGCCATGATTTTACCATTATTATTGAGCAATAGTTCATATTATCAGGGTGTAAAAGAACTAAGTTCCTTGTCTACAGTGAAGTTCGTGTTGAAGGATTAGAGACACTCGATTATTTGGATAATTTACAGAACAGGAAGCGATTTACTGAACAGGGAGATGCGATAACATTTGAAGGAGAAGTGAGTTGATGATTGCCTTTCCCCTCAGTATGCTCACGCTTTAACTTGGTTTACTGTTAACATATTTTTATTTCTGCTTAAAAAGGTGGACAAGATATACCTCAGTACTCCTACAAAAATTGCAATTCTGGATCATGAAAAGAAGAGAACCCTTGTATTACGCAAAGATGGACTTCCCGATGCCGGTGAGGTTTATTGTCTTCACCATCTTTTATTGATGTTTGTGCTATATATATAGAGCCTCATATTTACACAAACAAGAGTACTTCATATTTACACAATCGGAGCTGGAAAATATTATGTTCATTGCAGTTTATAACAGAACTATGGATTATTGTTGTACCATTCATTTCAAGTAGTTGTATTGCGAACTCAGGCTTGTGATTCTTGTCAGCTCTTGCGGATATACCGTTTTCTTGTATATTAATAAAAGCCGTTCCTTGCTTTAATATTCTTATTTCTTTTGCATGCAGTCGTGTGGAATCCCTGGGATAAAAGGGCAAAGACTATACCTGATCTCGGAGACGATGAGTACAAGTATATGCTGTGTGTGGAGGCTGCTGCTATCGAGAAACCCATCACATTGAAACCCGGCGAGGAGTGGAGGGTAAGGCAAGAACTCTCTACTGTTCCGTCCAGTTACTGCAGTGGCCAACTTGATCCTCAGAAAGTCGTCCTGGGTAACTGAAGACCCCTTACGGCGGTCGTTTATATGTCCAGGTAATCGTGCATCATAGTTCTTTTTCCTCGACGTGTTTCAACGTAACGGATTTCATTTCGAAACTAAAATCTGTGGTCATTGGCAGTCGGTGTCTGGCAAAAATTCGAGTCGATAAACCCCATTCGTTAATTATGCACATGCAGGAATCATGAGGGAACATGCTGTGGTTAAATCCTGGATTTTTTTTGTTTAATTAATGCAAATAAGGGGCTTAGGACATTGTGGAACAATGTTATTATTCAGCTGTGGATGAGCTGTGTTATTTGTCTATGGTCTGTCTTTTGACTTGTCTCATCTCCCGTTTTGCAAGAACTTACTTTTTCTATTTGAGTTGGATTTTTTATATTTTAAATCTTTTTATTTTATTAAATTTTCCTTCTGGGTTTAAAGGGTTTTTTTTTTGCATAAATCAAAGGGTAAATTACGTGTTTATTACCTAAATTATTAGTTTTGGTCCGTTTTAGTACTTAATCTTTCAAAAATTTAAAACCATACTTAAAATTTAGTTTTTTTTTTCATTTTAGTATTCCACCGTTAAAAACTTTAGTTTTTGTTTCATTTTAGTACTTATTCAAAATTTAACGTTAAGTTTCGAAAAAATTGAAAGTTTAGATACTAAAACATACCAATATTGATAGTCTAGGTACTAAACGCGTTAAGTTTTTAACGGCGGGTACTAAAATGAAATGAAAACTAAACGTTAGGTATGATTTTGAAAAAATTTAAAATTTAGGTATTACAATGGGTCAAAAATGATAGTTTAAGTACTAAATGCATAGTTTATTCTAAAATTAAATTTGCATCCTTATATCACTCACGTATCCTGAGATAAAAAGCGGTGTGAGATGTTAGATTTTTTAAGGTTAGTGGTTAGAAACTTAAAATCAACTCGGTTAGGATGATAACTCTATAATGAATCTATATATAGTATTTGATACAAATCAATATCAATAATTTTACAGTAATTATAACTAATTACAGTCACCAAAAAAAATTAGGGTAAACAACATGGGTAGTCACTTATGTTTTTGGTTCACCCAATTTTGATCACCGGTTTAGGTCCCTTATGTTTGAAATCGCGCTTTTTTTTAAACCGGTGATTAAAATTAGATAGATTGAAAATTTAAGGTACTATCCGTGCAATTTGCCCAACAAACTATACCATGCTCTAATGTCATAAAAAAACCTTCTTTTTTCGTAAACCTAAAATCCGAACCTTTATTTATTTCACAACTTTCTCCCTCGAATGTTCTGATCTCCTAAAAATATATGGACCCGTCTGAAAAGAAAAAAACAGATACCTTACGAAAATCTTCAAAAATTCAAAGCCCTTTCCATCACCAATTCTCACGTGTTTGTGTAGAGGAAATAAAGAGCATGAAATTGGTGGTGAAGCTCTTTCCACCCATCTTTAAACTATGACCATAAATTTCAATTAGTCTTTAAACTTTTGGATATTTTGATTTCATCATCATAATTTGACCCTTACTTTAAATTGATATAGGAACTTTTAGAATTTCAATTTCATCCCTAAATTATTAATGTGTTCTAATTAAATCATCTACTAATAAAAGAGGTAATTGTATCATATATCATGAAATTATGACTTTTGTTCTAAATTAGTCCTACTTTTGAATATTCTAATATCATCCCTAAATTATGACATGTATTTTAAATTAGTTCCTAAACTTTTGAATATTTCAATTGTATCATTTTCGTACCCTCATTCAAAAATCTAACGTTAAGCTTTGAAAAGATTGAAAGTTTAGGTACTAAATGCGTTAAGTTTTTAATGACATGGTGCTAAAATGAAATGAAAATTAAACGTTAGGTACGGTTTTGAAAAGATCAATAATTGAATATGGATACAGTAACTGTGTATGAACATTACATGGCGGACAAATTTAGAGCTGAAAGGATCATTTTGCAAACATACTCAAATTTAAGTGTTAAAAAGTGTGAATATCCAAATCCTGTACCTAATATTATTACCAAATTTGAAAAAGAAACACCAAGCAAGAAACTATGTATGGAACATTACATGGCGAGAAACTTGCACCACAGACTTGTTAGAACGTTTCAGAAACTAGATTACTTTCTCCGTTTCTCTTCATCGTAGTCTGTAAATGTCATCGAGTCGCCGACCTTCGTTTCTCCGGTATCGGTTTCCGGTTTTCTAAACCGTATAATGCTGCTGGATCGTATCAATGTCCAGCCCCTTCAGCTTCACCACGGACTCCACATGCCCTTTCAGCGTATGCAGCTCTCGGAGCCTGTAAGACATATATCGGAAATCCGTAATCGTGTCGTAAAACGAATGGCTTATAGCTATTAGTGTTGGTGAATAGGCATGGTACGTTGAGTCTTACCTTGCAACCTCGGCTCGTCTCTTGGCCTGTTCGGCGATCTCCGATAACTCGCGATAGCTGTTCTTTTCGTTGAAGAGATTCGAAGCCTCGGGCGGTTGAAGACCGTGCAACGTTCTTTGAGCAAGCGCCCATTGAGCCTCCCTCTCTTCTTTGCCGTAGTCTTTCTTGGTAGTGAATGCCGTCTGTTACCGAGGCCGGATTAGTAAACACGAAAACGACGTAACAATGTGCATAAATCGAGATATGTGTACCTTGTTTTCGAGTAGGTTGAGCCAAGCTTTTCCGCTTAATATATATCGAATAGCAAACTTCATTAGATCCAATGGAATGTAGAAAACTATACTGTAAAGCCAAATGACACCAGCCCATCCCCAGCCAATGCCTTTAATCCTTGCAAATCCCCAATTAGCATAACAGCGATCACAGTTGCAACCTGATCAACACAAAGAACCGATCAATTCGATGTTTAACGACTTGGAAATGAGTGGCGGGATAAATGTACATGTCCTTACAAGCTGTGCAATGATGAAGGCGGTCATCAATAGCAGTCCGGGACGCTCGACGTACGACCAGCTGCGTGATCTGGTCACGAAGATTAAGGCCTGGCTCACAATGCTTACTTGTAAGTATAAAGCGCCCATCATCTCATGCTCTGAGTCCCTTATAGACCTAACACCGAATTTGTCCTGCATTCATCGACACAAAACTGTTACGAGGCTGAATCGAAAATAGAATATGAACTGCAAATTTTCAGCGCTTCGTACCGGGAAGAAGTCGGTCTTATGCATGGCCCAGAAGAATATGACAGTCATCAATGCCAAGTAGCCTCCGAGCACGATTCCAGTAGCGAAAATTTCTTTCAGTTTCCAGCTATCAGGCAAGGGAGACGGCTTGACTCGGTCCTTCGATATTGTCATGATAGTACCTGGAGTAATATTCGACTTGATCAATGTCGATAATCAAATTTGAGCCGGTTAAACGAGAAGAGGAGTCATGTGCAAGTTAAGTAAAAAACCATGTACCATCGTTCAGAATGGCAATGATCAAAACCATGAATGGCGAAAAATCGAACTTCCAGATCAGAGCAATGAACATAAATCCAAACTGCAAAATCAGAAACAATGTATCAGTACATTTCGTATACGTAATCTATAATTAACTTGTATAAAAACATCTTATTATGTACTAACCACGATACGGATTGTGATCGAGACTGCGTAGATCTGCGAAAATAAAATACGAGAAGGTTTATGCATTGCAAAACATAGTGTATAAAGCTTTAGAAATATGTCTAAAGGGGAGATCAGTTTACAGTATAGTTCTTCATCCTCTGGAAGATAGCTCTGCTAGTTAAGACTGCACTGACAATAACACTCAGCCCAGGTTCTGTGAGAACAATGTCCGAAGCACTTCGCGCAGCGTCTGTAGCGTCCGCGACCGCAATACCGATATCTGCCTTCTTTAAAGCAGGAGCATCGTTAACACCATCTCCGGTCATTCCACAAATGTGCTTCCTCTCCTGCAACTTTTTCACAATCTCGTATTTGTGCTCTGCAAGGCAAGCATGATAAGGTGTTATGTTATTCGAGACCCGAATGATGGATGAGGAATTCCCGTTTACGAATATCCGGGATGCAAAAGAGGGCTACCTGGAAACACGCCGGCAAATCCATCGGCCTTCTCAATCAACTCTTCCACAGGAATGGCAGCTATGTTTGCATCCTTGTCTTGGCCTAGCAAAGAGGCGGATGGATACATGTTGGTTCCCATTCCGAGTCTGCGTCCAGTCTCCTTTGCAATTGCGAGTTGATCACCTGGACATAAGTACGAAAATATAAGTACAAAATTGCAGCGACGAACGATCGATGAACTCGATTAAAGGATTCAGTTACCAGTGATCATCTTGACATTCACACCAAGATGAAGAGCTCGGCGAATGGTTTCGGCACTGTCATGCCTTGGAGGATCAAACAGAGATAACAAGCCAACAAATTGCCATGGAGTACCCGCGCTTTCTTTCGATTTTTCAGGCACTTGCTGGAAAGTGTAGGAAAATTGTCAAGGGTTAGGGGGCTTTATAAAATTGAAGCAGCATAATAGTGAATAGAAGATCATGAGTTTTGGATTAAAAAAAAACCTGTCTGGCAACGGCTAATGAACGAAGCCCACGCTCGGCAAACTTGTCGATGATCGAATGAACCTTCTTCTTAAAATCTTCTTTTGCATTGCAAAGGTTCAAGATCTGTTTATAGAAATAATATGATTAAATGGCACAAACTACGTAAATTTATTGTATCAGTGCACTGTTTATACCCAAAGCAAACGAGGTTACCTGCTCGGGAGCACCTTTACTGGCTCGATGCCAATTGCCATTGGCATCGATATAAGTTAAGGCAGTTCTCTTATCCACAGGATTGAAAGGCAAGAAATGCACCTCTGTAATACCAGCTCTTGCCTGTACGTACAACATATTGAACATAAATAATCCCTCTGGAATACATGAATCGAAATCGAGAGGAAATGGCTACGTACCTCCTTAGGGTCGGCAAGCATTCCAACAATGGCAGCATCGATGGCATCTTGATTTTCAGTTCTAGAAGCTCTTGCAGCAAGCAACATGACATGATCCTTATCAGCATCCTTTACAAACACCTCGATTAAGTTTTTATCGACGCTAAGCTTGTTGAGCGTCAATGTTCCTGTCTTATCACTGCAAAGGACATCCATACCGGCCATTTCTTCGATTGCGGTCATACGCTTGGTGATAGCACCCTGCTGAGACAGTCTATGGGATCCAATGGCCATGGTCACGGACAAAACAGTCGGCATAGCAATGGGAATACCGCCGATCAAAAGAACCAAGAGATTGTCAATTCCATCCCTGTACTTGCGGTGTTGAATTGGATACATGACTATGATCTCAACCACCATACCGACAGCAATCGAACAAATACAGAAGTTTCCAATAGCAGTTAG